CCTCTGACAACATGCCTAAGATCCATCCTGAGACCAAAGCGTTAATTATCAAGAGGCTGAAGACCAGATCCACTGCTGAGGTGGCTGACACCTTCAATGTGTCTCAGCGTCAAGTACAAAGAATAAGAAAAAGATATGAAATGACTGGAGATGTTTTTGACAAGCCCAGGTCCGGCAGACCCCGCAAGACAACTGCTCGGGAGGACCGTTTGTTGATTCGAAAATCCAAGGCCAGCCCCTTTTCCACTGCAGCAGACTCCACCAGGCCTGGTCACCTCAAGTCCCTGTGTCAACCACAACAGTTTGTAGAATTCTGTCTCGAAATGGCCTCCATGGTCGAATCAGTGCACAGAAACCAGCACTAAACAAAAGGAAATTAAAAAAACGTGTGGCATTTGCCAAGGCCCACAGCCTGCTAAAAGGATGGACACTGGAAAAGTGGCAGGAGGTGGATTTCTCAGATGAATCCTCGGTTGAATTACATCACAGCCACCGCAAATATTGCAGGAGACCTACTGGAGACTACATGGATCCAAGATTCACCCAGAAAACAGTTAAGTTTGGTGGCGGAAAAATCATGGTCTGGGGTTACATCCAGTATGGGGGTGTGCGAGACATTTGCAGGGTGGAAGACAATATCAATAACCTAAAATATCAAGAAGTATTAGCTCCTCTTACATTCCCAACCATAAAAGGTGTCAAATTTTGCAGCAGGATGGTGCTCCATCGCATACTTCTATCTCTACATCAAAGTTTCTCAAGGCGAAGAAGGTCAAGGTGCTCCAGGACTGGCCAGCCCAGTCACCAGACATGAACATCATTGAACATGTCTGGGGTAGAATGAAAGAGGAAGCATGGAAGGCAAAACCAAAGAATTCTGATGAACTCTAGGAGGCATGTAAGACGCTTTCTTTGCTATTCCTGATGACTTCATTAACAAATTGTATGAATCATTGTCGAACCGCATGGATGCAGTTCTTCAAGCTCCTGGAAGTCATACAAGATATTAAATATGGATCTCACAGCACCACTACTTAATTCACTGACGTTATGCAACATATTTTTGTATTTGAAGTAAATTATTTGTTCAATTTTCTGTAGGCGACAAAACTTTTAACTTGCCAAAATCTGACCTTTCTGTGTTCATTAAATGATCAGTCTTTCTTCAGTGAAGCAAATTTATTTTAGTATATTGAGCATAGTCTGGGAGGGTTTTAGCTTTCATATGAGACATTTCTAAAACCAATCGATTAATTTAAAGTCAGGTTATAAGCTTTTGTTTCTACAAAATGGATACGTGACAGGACTTTTGTCAGGGACTGTATAAACAAATATAGTGTTTGCTCATGTCATGTGGCAAGCATTGCTTTGCTGTGGTGCACTTGACCGAGTGTCAAGTGCACCACAGCAGAGCAATGGCACTCATCATGTAATTATTTTCTGATTAGATTTATTTAAACAATCACAAAATGCATTACATTTCACAGAGTGTGGGAGTGTTAACACTATCAGCAAAGGTTGTTCACATGCAGTATAATATAAAAAATTAACTGGAGAATATTCACATGCATATATTTACATCATATTTTAAAACAAGAACAAATTAGGCTACAATCATTCCTCTGTATAATGTGTACACATTACACGATTGTTGTTTGCAGGCTGTTGACCGCACTCCTGGTCTGGACATCCCATATACTGTTCATGAGATCATGAACCGCTGGACTTTACAGATGGGCTTTCCTGTGGTCACTATTGACACTCGAACTGGAAGAATTACCCAAAAACACTTTCTCTTAGATGCAGATTCAGTCGTGGACCGACCATCACAGTTTAAGTAAGAATCACTTTTATCTTTTCTTGTAAGCCTCATGTAAATGAAATAATGAAATCAATCTTCAAGCATTTACACAGTACATAAAAGTACACTGAAATATAAGTTGCTCTTAGAGCAAATAGTGCACTGGAAAATGCTTAATGCTACACACAACAACAAGTCAGTGAATGGGAGTATTGTAAAAATGCTATGAGATTAGGTTGCAAATGTTTTAACAAATACTCACAAAATCAAACATTACATAAAAACCTAAAAATAAAATCTCGATTATAATAATGCCATATGTCTGAAATGTTTCACACATTTGATTTTAACCTTACATTAAATGGATTGCTTCCTGTACACATGCTTATTATGATTATTTCCATTAATCTTATTTTTGTAATATTTAGCTACATATGGTATGTCCCTATTAAATGGATGAAATCTGGTATAGATCAACAGCAGTTCTGGCTACTTCATCAGACAGGTTCAGTATAACATACATTTGAAAAAAGTCAAGTTGACAATGAATTATATATTTTGCTTATTTTCATTTGTGATCTCTACTTGTGTATTTCAGACAGTAACAACCACATGAGGGTGTCTGGGAACGATTGGGTGCTGGCAAACACCAATGTATCAGGTTACTTCAGAGTGAACTATGATCAGGAAAACTGGGATCGTCTCCTCGCCTTGCTCAGTTCCAACCATCAGGTAGTTCTTTTTAAGTCTGTTGTTGTTAAACTGTATTGAGTTAATTCAGCACTTTGTATTATGAACTTGATTCTTTTATTTCAGGTATTGTCAGTAATGAACAGAGCCCAAATCATAGATGATGCTTTCAACCTTGCAAGGTAAAAAGAAAAATCATGAAATTAATAATTTGTTGAATGATTAATAGTTTTGTTATTTATTAATTACTATAATCATTATCTCTGGCATAATAATCAACATGGACACTTATTTTCACAGAGCCAAGATCATTAATACCACACTGGCCTTAAAGACTACAAAGTATCTGTCAAAGGAGACAAGCTACATCCCCTGGGAGTCAGCACTCAGAAACTTAAACTACTATATCCTTATGTTCGATCGCACTGAGGTCTATGGAGCCTTAAAGGTAAGCACTCTGTAATTATGCAATTTGTATATAAATAATAAAAGAAGGCTCTGAAATCACTTCTAATGAATATTTTATGTTAGAGTTATTTGAAGAAACAAATCCAGCCGCTGTATGAGCACTTTAAAGTTCTGACTGAAAACTGGACCAAAGTACCAGCAAGACATGCTGACCAGTAAGGAGTCTTTTACCTGAGATGAGGTTAAAAACAAACAAACAAATTATTTCAATATAATAAATTTAAAATCTGTATTCACTTTCTTTCTTAGGTACCATCAAATCAATGCCATTGGAATGGGATGCAAGATGGGTGTAGAAGGCTGCAGAGAACTCACCAAAAACTGGTTTAAACAATGGATGGAAAATCCTGCACACAACCCGTGAGTATTCAGAGAGCACACAGAGGTCACGACATGTCATCTGGAATCACATAAAAGGTGAAAATGAACTGGTTTGGCCTGCATGTCCACATGTTCATCATGTGACTTCATCTCTCTCAGGATCCACCCCAACCTTAAAAGCACTGTTTATTGCTATGCTATAGCCTTTGGTGGACATGAAGAGTGGGACTTTGCTTGGACAATGTTCAAAAATGCAACTGTAGCATCTGAAGCATCCAGACTCAGGGAGGCCATGGCATGTACTCAGGTCCCTTGGCTTCTGAACAGGTAATGCTGATATCTGTGGTAAATGATTCACAGCTAATAAACATGTTTTACACACTTTTTTATTATATAAAATGCAATAAAAATTATAGATATCTGGAGTATGCGCTCGACCCGTCCAAAATCCGAAAGCAGGATGCTACTGCTACCATTCAGTACATTGCCAGAAACATTGTGGGAATGCCTCTTGCATGGGATTTTGTCAGAGCCAGATGGCGATATATTTTTGAGCAGTGAGTTCTTTCATTATTTTTTGCTTTCAAAATCCAGCAGATACTACAGCATAAGCTGACTACCAAATAACGCATGAATGAATTTGACAAATAAAACTGTTGTGTCTTTGTGTATTAGGTACGGAAGAGGATCATTTTCCTTTGCTGGACTCATTAATGGAATCACAAGAAGATTCTCCACAGAATTTGAATTGGAAGAGGTACAAAACAGAAAAGGTTTTGCTTAGAGAAATATTCAGATCTCTTTCACAGTGTACTTTTGTTTTGCAGCTTAAGAAGTTCAAAGCAGACAACCAAGATATCGGATTTGGATCAGCCACACTGGCCATGGAGCAGGCCTTAGAGAAGACCACCACCAACATTAAATGGGTGGCAGAGAACAAAGCTCAAGTGCTTCAGTGGTTTACTGATGAATCAGCATGAAGACATTTAGACACTATTTACTGTGAGATACAGGTTATGATTAGACTTTACAGCTCTATAGCAATTGGACAGTGTGTCAGTGTGTAATAAACAAAGGTGAAGCAAATATTCCTGTTTTTTCACCTTGTTTATCTCATGGAAGTAAACTTAATGCAGGCCGTGTTTTATTGTGTGTTCATATTCTGCTTGTGTAACTATGTAAATGTCACAATATTATTATGGAACATTTTGTTGCATTGTACTTTGAAGGCAGAGACATTCTTTACAGACAAAAAGTCATATTGACAATTTAGTACAAGTGACCTTATATTGTACAGTAAAACTGTATATACCATGTACTATATTTCTACTAGTCTGTTTTGTGTAAACATTTTACAGAAATTTACTTTATTTTTTGTCATATGTTTCAAGAATTCTTCAAGAATGGGATTATCATGTTCAGATGTATTCAAAATTACTGTTTTGAATGTCAAAATTTTGATTTTTTTGTGTGATCAAATCATCACTGTCCATAGGCCCAAAAAGGACAAAGGGCAAGCTTTCACGTTTGTTATGTTGTCAGGTGGTTCAAGATAACCACAATGGTCATAAAAGCTCTGAATAACTTGGGTCACTGTTTAGGTCCTTTGTTTACTTAATGGGTCTTTGCTGAGTCAGGTGCAATAATTTAGATAAAGTTTATTTTTATTAACATTTTAAAAGGGAAGAAAATATATAATAATTTGTACCTACATTTGAATCAACCTTCATTGCAAATTCTGTTCTATTTCCCCAGTGTTTACTCACAAAGTGGCATCAGTCAGTTGAGATAATAAGGTTTAAATGCACATCTTTTTAAGTAGTTACAAATCTGTATACAGTGCTGTATATTTCTTGCACATGTAGCATGTAATGAATCCCACGATGTAGGCTACAATTTGACCAAAAAAGAAAATATTAACTTTTGAATCAGATTATGGAAGCACAAATTGACAACAGTTTTTTTTAATCTTACTCGTGAGATAGACAGAGGCCATAAACAGATACCCTTTACATCATAAATCTCTTGATGAAATCAGCTGATCTGTAGAAAATTTACAAATCTTAAATCATTGCCTCCCGCATGACTTGAGTGTATAAATGTACTCCCTACATTATTATATGTTTCTCTTCTAGTATGGAATGTTCATCTTAAAAGGTCCATAGTACGCTATTGTCTGATCTGTGTTATAATGTTGTTTCCTCACCAAAAACATACCTGGAAAAAAACTGTTCCACTTTGTGGTGTATTGTAATAATACAGGAAGTGCTCCACTCTGTTTTTAAAATCTATGCACTTTCACTAAAACCATCTGGATATTTGGAATTGCCAGTCTCTATTGAATTAAGGGTAAAGTGTAGCTGTAAATATACCTCTAGATGACATCACAAGGTGGAACAGAGGTTTTTGAGCTTTGAAGATGAAGACAGACTAATAATAAAGGGTGTGAATGCAACAAAACATAACTCCACATGTTTTTGATGAGGTGACGGCATTATAACATGACTTAAAGCTCACAAGAGTCAATTTTGTGTAATATACGACCTTTAATATTCCATATGCTCTGGTGCACTTTGAGATAGGCTCTCAAGGGGCCTTTGTTAAGCAATGTAAGTATTAAGTTCACAGGATAGGCAGAGGTCTTATCACCACTTTTTACAATTTTGTTCCTGTTGGACTTTCAGCTATCTCTTTTTTTTCACCAGAAAGTCAAACATTAACAAAACTATAATCTTGTTCCCATAAATAGGTAAATTCATCTTGGTATTTCTTTCAGACATGGCAAAAGGATTCTTCATCAGCAAGGCGGTGGCAGGGACTTGTGTCTTTGTGGCTATTGCTGCCACTGCCACAATCATAGCTCTGTCTGTTGTGTACTCTCAAGAGAAGTCCAAGAATGAAGTCCTACCAACCGTCGACCCCAGCATCACTACAACAACTCTGTCCACAGCCCCCCCAGGCCCAAAGGAGCCATGGCAACAATACAGACTCCCGGACTCACTGGTTCCTATCACCTACCATGTAACTCTTTGGCCCAGACTAGAACCAGTTGTGGGTGACTTTTTCATCTTTTCAGGGAATTCAACGGTCTTGTTTAAATGTGTGAAGGCTACGGATCTGATCTTAATTCATTCGAACAAACTCAATCTGACCACTTTTGACAACTTCCATGCCAAGTTGACAGGACTCAATGGAGCAGAGGCACCAAAGATAAAGACGACATGGCTGGAGGTTCCCACTCAGTATCTGGTGATACAGCTGCATGGAAATCTTCAACCTGGCAACACATATGAGCTGTTTACTGAGTTTGTAGGAGAGCTGGCTGATGACCTGGGAGGATTCTACAGAAGCGAATACTATGAGGATGGCATCAAAAAGTGAGGATGGCTAGGTGTTAAGATATCTCTGCCTTTATTTGTTGATTGATTCACTTACTTATCAAAAAGGGACACAATTAAGGTAGTTATTATATGCAAATTACAACAGCGCTAAAATAAAAAGTACAATATGTGACTGTGGGAGATGCATCTTCCTTGTCAACTGTTTGGCTCCATAGAGATGTTTTGCTTTGCCTGGAATGTTCCAAAGTATGGAATTAATCTTCTCTATTGTACATGTCAATAACATGTTTTATAGCTCAAAATAAGCCTACCGCTAACATGCGTTTATGTGTGCAGGGTCCCCTCTCCAATGAACTGACTAGTAACTTGACCTCTTTGTTTCCATGGAGACAAATAATGTGTACAATGAAAGATTTCATGCAAAGTAATAGCACCTCCATGGAGACAAGCAGATGCTCCACCAGAAAGGTTACACAGCTTTAAAATGTTTTGATGTTTTTAGAGTCTTGGCCACAACACAAATGCAGCCAACCGATGCCAGGAAAGCCTTTCCCTGTTTTGATGAACCGGCAATGAAGGCTGTCTTCTACATGACCCTTCTGCATCCTCATGGGACTGTGGCTCTATCCAACTCTCTAAGCTATGGCAAGTTCACACTTAAGATAAGATATAAGTTTATTGCTCTCACAGTGGAGAAACTATCATTCACCTTAGTTAGTAATGTACAGTGGTGGAAGAAGAGGAGTGGATGTCGATTTTGTTATTTATGTAAAAGATACTGGAGCAAAAGTACCACATGAAAAATACCTACCTAAGTAAAAGTGTTTAAGGACCAATAACAATGTACTTAAAGAGTAAAAGTTAAAATGTTGTGGAGAAGAAAGTATAGACACCGTCTCTCAAATGTAGTGAAGTAAAAAGTATCCACTTAAAAATCTACCTAAGAAAAGTATAGATACCTAATGTATACTTAAGTAGGCCTACGGTATGTCACTACTTTTACTTTGTTACATTCCACTACTGGATAATGTGTGTATGCATGAATCATTGCTATACTGCCATAGGTCATAATCTTTTTTCTTGTCACACAGACCCAGTCAATGTCACAGTAGACGGACACAATCTTATAAGAACCAGCTTCATGGCCACGGAGGTTATGTCATCTTATCTACTGGCGTTTGTGGTGTGCGAATTTACTTACATTGGGAACATGGATACTGGCGTTTTGGTAACTTTTTTGTTTTTATTTATTTTATTTTATTTTATTTTTTGCACTGAGAGTTTGTCAATGTAATACTTCACTGAACAGAGCCAAATCACAATTTAACACAACACACAACAAATGGTTACTTACCTTAAAAACTAATAAAATTTATTTGGGCTTACGACGAAACTATGTAGGCTACTGCATTTCAATGCATACAAAGCCTCCTTATATGCACACTACTGCAGCCGTGGATCTATTCAACTTGGCTTTATTTTGCAAACTAAAACAGGACAACATGGTACAATGCTGCCCTCTGCTGGACGTTGTTTGCACAGTAAGATGACCTGTCCTATTGCTTTATGCAGATCAGAATCTGGGCTCGTCAAAAGGCCATCGCCGAGGGACAAGGAGAGTATGCCTTGAATATAACTGGCCCTATCTTGTCCTTTTTCGAAAATTACTACAACATCTCCTATCCTTTGAATAAATCAGGTATGCAATGGACCTTCTCATCATGTCATAAATCCGATTCTCAACAACATTGAGGTTTTTTAGATACTAAAATTAAAAAGTTGTTGCCCTTTTGTAGTGGTTGCATCTATGAAAAGGTTTACGTTTAGTCATTGGTTGCAGATCAGATTGCTCTGCCAGACTTTGGGGCGGGAGCTATGGAGAACTGGGGCCTCATCACCTACAGGGAGACTGCCCTTCTGTACAACCCTGGTGTCTCATCTAATGGAGACAAAGAGTGGGTGGCCACGGTCATAGCACATGAGCTGGCTCACATGGTACAGTAGCAGTGTTAACAAGTCAACAGTTCACCTTGTAGCTTATATAATTATAATTTATGACAACATTGATCTGTATCTAGTGGTTTGGAAACCTGGTGACCACAAAATGGTGGAATGACCTCTGGCTAAACGAGGGCTTTGCTACTTATGTCTCTTACCTTGGTGCCAATTTTGCTGAACCAGATTGGAATATGGTGAGCTCTGGTTTGAACAATTTTATTATTATTATTATTATTATTATTATTATTATTATTATTATTATTATTATTATTATTATCATTATTATTATCATTATTATTATTATTATTTATTATAATTATAATTATTATTATTATATTTTTTTTTTTTATTTTTTTTGTATCAAACTTTGTAGAAAGATCTGATAGTCCTTAATGAGATTGTAGGTGTGATGGGAGTAGATGCTCTGGCCTCCTCCCACCCTCTCTCATCCAGGGAAGATGAAATCCTGAGGCCAGAGCAGATCAATGAACTTTTTGATGCCATCACATACAGCAAGGTAAAGTCAAATTTTAAGTGTCTCTGTAATGAGATCTACACACCCTCCTTTAACATAAAAACTTCTGTTTTTTTTTTTTTTCCTTTTTTTTTTTTTATTCCCAGGGGGCTGCAGTCCTCCGAATGCTTTCTTTCTTTATCACAGAGGAGGTTTTTACTAAAGGCCTTCATGTAAGTAAGATAAGATGAGTTGTGCTTCTAGATATCATCAATTCATTTCAAACCATTTTATTTCTTGCAGACATACTTAGACACGTTCAAATACAAAAACACTGTCTACCAAGACCTCTGGGAACACCTACAGATGGTAAATGGCATTGTGGTGTAATTTTAGTTGATATACAATATAATTACGGCATGATAAATGGGCATTTGTTTAAAAAAAAACTAACTTTTTTCTCAGGCTGTATTTTCTTCAGGCATCTCATTGCCTGACTCCATTGAACAAATAATGAACAGGTGGATTCTTCAGATGGGTTTCCCTCTGGTCACTATCAATACCCAAACTGGACAAATTATGCAGAATCACTTCCTATTAGATCCAGACACTCCAGTGGACAGGCCCTCACCATTTCAGTAAGATTTTATTTAATTTTTTTAAATACCACATCAAATTATTTATCACTAAGCTAACCTCATTTTGTGCATCACTGGATGGTGAAAATCCATGGTGGTGAAGATATGAATGGATTGTTCCAGTGACATGGATTAAAAATGGTGCAGAAGAGAAGCAGTACTGGCTCACTAAAAAAGATGGTGAGTTATGTCAATACATTGAATTTGTTGAATGAAATAAGATGGATAGATGGATGGATAGATGTGGGTAAAATTGTTCTTAAGTAAAAGTACATTTACTTGAAAATAATACCACATATCAAGTGGTCCACAAAACTACTCAGTTAATGTTAAAAAAGTATTTTGGGGACACTACACAAGAAAAAAATCAAAAATACCTAGAAAGACTGGTGTCTGACATTGCATTGTAGGCTGCTTCTCGACAGATCTGATGTGTAACTTGGTCTGCTTTGGTCTCTGTGGAGATAGGAAAGTTTAATACAATACTGGGAAACATTCCAGACAAAGCAATAACATCTCCATGAATAAATATATTTGACAGACCCTTCCCCAGAAAAATTACACAATGTGCTTTTAAACAATGCACAAAATATGGTTAGAAAGATAAAACTAACATTGAAACAAATCAAAAAGCAGTGCAAGTGTAATGCACTGATAATTTAAAACTGTAGGAAGAGTAATCAGAACTTTTACTCAAGAGTAGTTATTAATTTTTTCAATTACTTCAAAAGTATGGTGACTCAGAGAATTACAGTTCTATTAAGCTCGTGCTAGTAAATATACCTAGTTACTTAATCACCTGATCACTCTAATTACCACTGCAAGATTCAGTTTCCAAACCTCTATGCAGATCACAGAAAAGATAAACCTCATGGTATATTACTAATTCATCACAGAATCAAAATATTAAGTGAATGTATAAAGTTTGATTGTGTCATTATTGTTATTTGCACAGCTACCAACACTGAAATCAAAACTGCTCCTGGCGAGTGGTTGGTGGCCAATATCAACATGAAGGGCTTCTATAGAGTGAACTATGACAGTGAAAACTGGGAGCGCCTTCTCACCAAGCTATCCACTAACCCTGAGGTAAAATAGCCAAACAAAACTTGAACTGATTTAAAATACCTTCAAGAAATAATTGTCCATGTTTTATATCAGGCCATTCCAGTTATAAACAGGGCACAGGTTATAGATGATGCTTTTAATCTTGCAAGGTAATGAGACAGTAATGTATTTTAGTAGCACATTGCCACTGAACTAACTAAATAAAATGACTGTTTTAGAGCAAAGATTATAGACACAACACTAGCTCTGAGGACAACTGCATTCTTGGATAAGGAGGTGGAGTACATGCCCTGGCAGACTGCTAGACGTAATCTAAACTATTTTTATCTTATGTTTGATCGCAGTGAGGTCTATGGCCCAATGCAGGTGAGCAATTAATTGTGGTTTTCAGGTTTCTCATTGTGTAATAATAATAAATAACATTAATATTTGTATGTTTAATCTTAGGCATACATAAAGAAGAAGTCAACTCCTTTATTTAACTACTTTGAGATGATCACATCAAACTGGACACAGATTCCTAAAAAACACACTGACCAGTAAGTTTTGTAAAGGCTGAATGTGGATGCACTAGTTGCCTGTAACTCCATATCTTACTTGCAGATACAATCAGGTAAATGCTATCTCCATGGCCTGTGGCACAGGAGTGGCAGGCTGCCAGGAGCTGGTCACTCATTGGTTCAAACAGTGGATGCAGAACTCCACTAACAACCCGTATGTTGCCACAAGCTTGCTTTTTTATTTCTTTTTTAATTTTTATTGGCAGGTCTATCATACCATTCTTTTAATTTTTTTTTAGAATTATTGCCAACCTGCGATCCACAGTGTACTGCAGTGCCATCCAAGCAGGAGGAGTGGATGAATGGAACTTTGCATGGGACATGTATAAAAATGCTACTGTTGCCTCAGAAGCTGATAAACTTATGTATGCTCTGTCCTGCACTGAACAGCCCTGGCTACTCAACAGGTATGTATATCATGTCAGTAAAAGGAATGTTAATTTAACTGTTCTCGAGAAATCATATTTTTTGTATTTTGTAGATATCTAGAATATAGTCTGGACCCAAAGATGATACGGAAGCAAGATGCTACCTTCACTATAGTTTATATTGCCCGTAATCCCATTGGTCAGCCTTTGGCTTGGGACTTTATCAGAGCAAAATGGAATTACTTATATAACAAGTGAGGTTCCATAATGTATTGTTTGATTTAAACATGTGCATTTATTCCAATATAAGCATATAGGCTGTAGAATAAATTTGAAAACATTTCTTAAAATGACCTCATTGTTGTTTTAGTTATGGAGGTGCAATGTCATTTGGAAGACTAATCAGTGGTGTAACTGAACGGTTTTCGTCAGAGTTTGAATACAAACAGGTAATGTCACTAATGTTTTCTACTGATACCAAATGCCACTGTAGGGTCCTCTTCAATAATTTGTGGCCTTTATCTACAGCTGCTCCAGTTCAAAGAGGAGCATTCTGGACAGCTGGGTTCAGCCACAGCAGCTCTGGAGCAGGCCCTGGAGAGGACCAAGGCTAACATGAACTGGGTGACTTTAAACAAAAAGAAAGTGTATGATTGGTTCATTGGGGAAACCTCAGCACTGTAAAAAATAATATTGTTATACATAATATAATGTATAGTGTATATATATACATATACACATACACACACACACACACATATATATATATATATATATATATATATATATATATATATATATATATATATATATATATATATATATATATATATATATATATATACACACACACACACACACACACATATAAATATAATATACACACACACACACACATATATATATATATATATATATATATCACACACACACACATATAAATATATATACACACACACACACATATATATATATATATAGTTATAGTTATATATGTTATATATATTATATATTGTTGAAAGATAACTTCTTATTTTACTGACTAATCGATAAGGCATATACTACCTCCATATGTATCGCTGCCTGTCTTTAGTTAATTCTCATTCAAATGTTATTCAACTGAAGTTCAGCATATCAAAGTAAGCCGGGATCACAGGATTGTTTATGTTGACACTACAGTGGCATAATAAGACAGCACAGAATGACTCTCTTTAGCACTTATTATTTTCTAACACAAAATCAACCTGGCTTAGAGTGCTAGATAATAATACAATTAGCCTTTTCCAAGATCAAAGCTGTAATTCCTCATTACATAAAACTTTGAGTCCTGTAGTGGCTTATCATGGCAGTCCTCTGGAGGTCTTAAGCACAGTTTTGTTTACTCAAGATAGAGAAGCTGACAGGTCTTCATGGGGGTCTTTCTCTAAATACTTTAGAGAGGATGTGTTGACTGTTTAGCACCTCACTGCTGGCTGCTGGCATCAGCTGCTCTGTTTGTCTAAGGAAGTGCAATTGGGCACCTGTTCATAAATTATATTTTTACCTTCCAAATAAAAAAAATTATAATTCTGATTCTGAAGAAGTTTGAAGAAGTTGTAATAATGGACAAACCATAATCATGGAATAAGTGGAGAGAAAAAGATTGCTTTTCAAATTTAAATATGTTTAATGATGTATAAAAGTGAATAAATAACATTTTGTATAAAGCACAAAGATAACAAATAAGTAGAAAGAATTTGTCTTAAAAATATTCTTCTTATGGCTCATTGATACAATGAAAATATGCATTGTTTGCAGTAATCTTAGCAGTGTCCATTGAAGCCCATGTCTGGGTACTGCTGTTAAGGCATCCAGTACTGCTGGGGGGTGTAAGAAAGTCCAGCGGGGACCGTCACAGGAGTAGTGTAGGTGCTGGGTCCAGCCGGCTGCAGACTGCTGCTGCAAGGGGTTTCCTGCAGTGAGCTGTAAGTGAACAGGCCTGGCTCCATAGGACCTGAAGACCTCTTCTCCAGGACCTCCTCGGTGAGGCCCAGCTGAGCAGACAGGTGGGAGATGTAGCGGATTGTGAAGCGCAGGGTCTCGATCTTGGTCAGAGTTTGTCCCTCTGGAGCCACAGATGCTGGGAGGTAAGACCTGAGGTGGTGCAGGGCTTTGGTCAGATCCCTCATCCTCAGCTTCTCCCTCTTGCTGGCTGTTTCCCTCTTCTTCCCTGGATACCTGGACCTGGACTTCTTAGTGGCAGAGGTGGTGGAAGCAGGCTTGGCTAGGATCTTGGTGGTAGTGGCCATCTGCTGGCGTTCACTGCTGAAGAAGAAACAGTCCAGTGGCTCTGGCTCGGCTTTGACTTGGAGCAAGTTTGGAGAGAAGCAGAAGGAGTCCACAGAGGATGTAGGAGACAGGCTACTACAGGCACTGAAATAGCCAGGGTCTGAGGAGGGATCAAAGGCCAAAGGATCACAAGACTTATCCAGCAGGGCATCGCAGTCGAAGAGGAAGGAGCTGGCATCCTCCTGAGGCTGCTGTGGAGAACAGTACGACATGTCCATGGTTGCTGTAGTCAACCTGTAGATTCTTCTTTGAGCTGTCACAGAGATGCTTGTAGGGCAGGCAGAATAGAGTGAGGAGAAACTGTCTGTTCAGGCCTTATATGTGGTGGGAGGTGTGAAATGTCACCTCCAGGCAGCTGCCCCTGCTCCTGAGAGGGTCTGGGACCAGGGCTGACACCACGGACAGGGGGTCCCATGGGAAATGGGACAGGACCTGGACAAGGTGTGACCTGTTCACTCCACAAGACCACAATCCAGGAACAACGACAGTGCCATAATACATGCTGGACTTCATGATAGGGTCAGATATGTATTTCTGTATGATGATCCATAAAATGTTGCTCAAGTGACAGAGGCTATGTGCAAAATATAATTAACAAAGTATTGGTGAATCTTGTAATGATCCTCTAATCTCTCATTAGTGACACCCTTGTGCACTTGAAGTCAGGCCACAGAAGTGTGCCAGGCAGCTGGGAGGTGTCAGGACTTTGCACCTCATCCTGTTTAGACAACAGCTCTCAGACCTGGGAACAAGAACAGAATATAGAATTATTTTCCATATATTAAAATTCTACAAGCATTCCAGCTTTATATTGAAATCTATTAGCCAAGCTGTAGTTTATAAGTTAGTTTAGGTTTATATTTTATTTACCACTATTTATTTACTAATGATGGCATTTTATTGTAAATCTATTATGTTTTGTTGTATCTAAATGTACAGATAATCTTAACTGTATCTGGCTATGGGATTCTAGTAAAAGTTAATGTGCTGTCCGTGGAGGTGAGTTGAGCGCATTATTCCCACAAAGCGCTGTGTTACATTTGGCTCCTGTGCTGAGGCTGAGGTGCCAGCTATGGACCAGGACGTGTCAATCACCCCGCGCAAACCCCAGTCATCTCCAGTATGCAACAATAACATGCTCTGTAATTACAAAAAAACATTTGGGTGACTATAGGGGATTTGACTAAGATCATTTTCCACATTTAAAATTCTCAAATTAAATCTGAATCACTTACTTCTTTCTGCCGAATGTTTTATAGTACACGTTCTCGAGCTGGAATGAATGCATTGTGTAAGTGTATAATGCCACATACAAAAAGCTGGGCTCACGTTTGAAACAGACTTATAAAGTGTGTGACAGAGAACTGACCTAGCGATCTCGATATTTGTGGGCTCAGATTGATAAGCATAGTCGATACACTATAGTACTATATATATAGGAGACAATTAACTATACACAACACGATAATGCTCCTTCAAATTTATGTTTTTTCAGTCTAATGCAACTTCATGCAGGGACGTATCATTGAATCATTGAGAATACAAATCTTTCCTATTTTACATGTGTTCCGAACACCACCTCTCTCTCTCTCTCTCTCTCTCTCTCTCTCTCTCTCTCTCTCTCTCTCTCTCTCTCTCTCTCTCTCTCTCTCTCTCTCTCTCTCTCTCTCTCTCTCTCTCTCTCTCTCTCTCTATATATATATATATATATATTATAATACATGCACAACTTCCACAGAGCAGAAACTCAACAATTAAGCATTTTAGAGACATGACCACCATCATAACAAAGAAAACTGAAGAAGGCAACCCAAGAAAATCAGTGTCACGGGAAACTGATGATGTTAGAAATGCTTTTGTAAAGTATCAGAGTTATATTACAAATACTTATGAGGATTGGTGATCATGTGACATTGACTTTCTACATAATAGCAATACACAAAAAGCAATAAACTGACTACAACCCTGATGTTAATTTTCATTTAGGATTGATGCTTCCTGGCTCTTTCATGTCCAATGATGTGCTGTTAGCTGCTAATTGTTTTTCTTTACACTCCTCTTAGAGCCCATGCAGCTGTCACTTTTTACATTCCACTTGAAGCTTAATGAGAGAGGATATCCTTCCCTTAATCCACATTAGGCCTGACGGTGTTTACTCACATGTAATGAGTGAATCATCAGCACAGCAGTGCCACCTTTTCATCCTCCAGCCCTCAGTGTATTAGCCTGGCTTTGATGAAAGGCCTAAGTGAGTATATTAGGCTGTGTGTTAGGCTTTCTGCTTGCATTTCAAATAAACCGCATATATGTGGCAAACTAAACACTCTGGGCTAATTCCTTGGGCTGATATGTAAATCATTCCCTATAAATATTAAAAGATTCTCGGCTGGCTGAAGGCAGGTAATTAGGGCCCTCGGTGAGAGAAGGGGGGGGTGAGAAAGATTGGTATAGGAGTCTAGACTTAGTGGTGCCAAGGACCTTTCTCTGTTTGCTGAGGCTCATTATCAAAGGTATCCCAAATAATGTGGGCATACGGTGAAGGGGATTAAACCTGAGCTGCTATATCATGACTTTTAAATAGCAGGTAACCGATAACTTTTACAAATTGCAACTAGATTATAAAGCAATAATTGGGTTTTTGGTGTTCATATTTTGACATTGAAAAATCTGTAGCTCAAGAAATAATTAACAGCACTGTAATATAGATAATCTATATTATCTATCTTGTAAATAATGGAGATTTACTGGTTTTCTTGTTTTGTGATATCATAATCTTAGGTTACAAAGCAGACTTTTTTAGGTTATGTGATTTTTAAAAGACCAGCATAATTTGGATGTTTAAAAGAATATTGTGAGGAACTGTGTGCAACCAAAACTGCCCATAGTAATAAAGTACAGGTGGTGAGAAGAGCATAAGCAAGGGTACAGGTACAGCAATGCAGCCTTAAGTGCATTGAGGGTTGGTGGGACATAGGCATTAGTTTGGGCATGGCAAAAAATGTAAAAATGTTTTTGTTATTATTATTCACAATCCACCACTGCTGTACCACTTAATACATTTTAAATCATTTTTTACTCTTGCCTGATTCTAGTCATTAAGGGATATAAGGTAAATAAATATTTGTTATAGTGAGGTAAACTGAAAGTAGCCTGCAGTGGACAGGTTATATTATTCCTTTGTGGGATATTCCACATCTTCAAATCTATCACACTTTTGCTGCTAGGGGTGTGAAGATTATTATATAGATCAATTAATGACCATTTTATTTAGCAATATTAAAATACCTAATTTCTTCTTTGCCTAAAAACACCAGGCATTGCTATATGTTGCCAGCAAAGTGCCTGTATTTTAGAATTTAAAGGTCCTACATAACACAAAATTGAGTTTTTAGTCATGTTAGACTGGTGTTACCTCCTCAAAAACATACCTGGAGTACTCCTTGTTTATTTATCTGTCTACATCTCCAAAGCTCAAAATGCTCTGTTCCACCTTGTGATGTCATGTAGTGGTAGTTTTCAAGTTAACAACTCAATTTACCTTTTGTTCAACAGAGATTGCCAATTTCAGGGTTGACATTAGATCATGTGTCTCTCACGAGACAAAATTACCAAAGGATTGTTTACATAAGAGAAAAATTAAATTGTGAGAATGTGTTTAATAATGTAATAACATTTGGATTGGACAAAAAAGTGCTGCGAGTTACATTTCCTAAGCTTTAGTTCCAAATAGCAGTGCTACAATGACAGTGAAAACATTAAATAAAGTCAAATGATAATGATATGGCCTTCATTGTGAACTGTACTGCACTTAATTGTGGACTGTACTGGAAATTATGTCTTGTCCAAATGACTAAGGTTTATGCAATTTAAAAGCACAATGGCGCACTTCCTGTATTACCCAATAGCAGATGACCAATAGATGGAGTTTCTCATTGGGAGAAGAGATCATCTTAAATATGCAGGTTTTGTGGGTTAACATGTATGAATGAAACAAAACATAACTTTGTGATGAGGAAACAACATTATTATATTAACATGGATGAAAAATGCATAATGTGGGCCCTTTAAATGTTACTAGGCTATCAGGGCTAAAACAAAAAAACAAAAACCTCAAGCACGTGTTGTAGCCTTAGACGCCTGATCAGCCTAATCATAGATGCTCATCACAATGACTGGAAATGGCAAACCTGACCCCAGAAGACAGTAAATGCTCTCTGTAGCCTCGCCCTAAATACTCCCCCCCCCCCCCTTTATGACAGAACAAGAAGTTGGAATAGGCCAACATGCAGCTAACGTGTTTATTGTTTGCTATTAAGTATCAGGTAAGTATAGACTAGCTCTTAGTAACTCTAAGATTTCTAGCCATGAACAGATTTTCTTTTAGCACTGACCAGGATATAATGTTTAATAAAGTGAAAATCTTATACTCCCTCATTTGTACATAATACCCTACCGGTGAAGTTTTTATTTGCTTCTTAGTTTCTTAGTGCCACCCATAACCAGGAGAGGGCACTAGAGTCCAAATTGTCTCTACAGTCATGTTTCTGTCATTGATCTAAGTTGCCAAGACAGACGATTTTTAACAGCTCATTTTCTTTACATGTACACAAAAATCTTTAAAAGTTAACGTTTTTATATTTTTATTATAAATAGTGGTGTAACGACATATAAAAATAGTTGTCACATTTTTAATATTTACAAAAAAGATGAACAAGAATAAATATAAAGTAAAATAGCATATATATTAAACAAATAAATTAGTCCTTTCACAGTGAGGCAGTTTGAGTTGAAAAGTAGGCTGCTGTTGCATGACAGTCCTGAAGGTTTCAGGCGTAATAATCTCTGGGAACCAATGGGAGGTGGAATCCACTGTCATACATCTAGAAACAAAGGTGCAAGGAAACTTATTAATAGTCATACTTAAGATGGCATGGTGCTAAAATAAAATATTACAATTTTGTTATTGTATTATGCTTAGAGCTGAAAATCAACATACCTGATAGGATGACTGTGCTGCTGGAGTTGACTGAAGAACACTGTCCCTTTTGAGTTCCCTCTGTGGAACTTCACTGTATCCTCTGCTGTACTGATCTATTCCAAAACTACAGCTCCCAGAATGCACCATTGCAGGCTGTGGTGAGTAGAAGTTCTGGCTGAAGTTTTGGTTCAGGTTGAGACTCTGACTGTCTTGTGTTCTGATTGGTCTAGGCTGAAAGTA